TTCCCTAGAGATATCTTATCCATCTCTCCTCCTATCTCTTCCATCCATTTTTTCATCCCTCCAACCAAACGAAGCATTAGTCTTATTTCGGATATAGACGTTAGGTGGAATGAATCATATGGATTGATTTATATCAACTTGCAAAACTTGTAAAACTTAGATTATACGCATGTACATTTCCTACGAGAAATGTAAGTTACTCATCCCCGCTAAATGCGATTTGTTTCAAGCAAGAAGATGTGGTTTCGGAACATACAACATTCCTAGGTTGTTTTGTTAATTTGGAGTATTTCTAATGTATTTTTGCTCACATGCAAGTGTTAGCATATTTAAGTTATACTTATAAAGTTGTAATGCTTAGCTAGGCTCAATATGCCCTTTTTGCCTTGTGTTATGTAAAGTGTGCTTAGATACACTCTTTGAAATTTATTTGACATGTATGTAAAGAGGCCAAAGGCCATTTTGTTTCTTTTAAGTACTTTGGTTTCATGTTTAATTATAGAAAAATGAAGAAATAGGATGCTTTAACATGTCATTTTCATTACAAGATGTGTAAAGTGCGCATACGCACACCCTTTAGGTCTCTTTGTATATGTATGAAGTGTGGCCAAGGATCAAACGGTTTTTTGAATGCATCTATGTGTGTGAGTTTCAAGTTTTTCTTTTAAAAGTCATTTTAGTCAAAAATTGAGGTTTGATAGGTCGTTTTATGCATTGGACATATTTGGGGACCGTGAACCTTTCTTGCGCACTTGAAATCACTTATTATGTTTGCGTGCACAATCGTTTTATCACACAACTTCATATTTGACCAAATGAACACTTAAAGAAAAATTACATTTTTAAAGTTTTATGTAAAACTGAGTAGAGGGACATTTTGGGAATTTCACATCAAAAATAAATTTTTTTTTTTGACATGCTCAGCTAGAAAATATGATTTTAAGGGGGGTTTCTTTTTTGAGTTTTTCTAAAAAAAATTCGTTTAAGGGTCCAAATTAGCTCTCATAGTTCTGAAATATTAGCAAAATGAGGCCTGTTGCTGTTAGCAGTAGTGCTGTGTGCACAGCGTACGCGGCGTGCAGGGACATGCGGGCATTCATGGGAGCTGCCTTGGATGCCCTCTTGGCCGCGTCGACACCTTTTTGTTTTACCTTTTCTTTTTCGTCCAGACTCCAAATCAAGTGATTTTTTAGTCTAACTTTATTAATTTTTCATCATCTACCAACGGTGTACTCGATGGTACCTTGATTTTTTAGAAATGACTATTTTGTTGCTAGGGCTAAACTTGTCTGTTTTTAAAACGTCGCTTCCACATTTATTTTCCTTTTTGGTTCCCGTGACTCATGGGAGGTCACATTCGTGTCTTAAGAATGACGTACATCTCTAGAGACTTAGTTTTTTATTTTCGTTTTCACATTCAGAATCCGTTATCGGGTCAAATTTCGAGTCATCACAGGATGCACTGGGTTGTAAAACCAGGATCGTCACATGGCGGCTGTTGTTGGGGTGGCAGTGGTAGGAGGTTGAGAGGAGAGGGAGGAGAGAGAGAATAGAGAGGAGGGAAGAAGATATGGGAGGATGTTGGCGGTGACTGGAGAAGATAAAGAGAGAAAAATAACGTTATTTTTGTTCTTCAAAATTTAGTTTATAGGGTTATATTAGTAATTTATATATTTTAGAGGGTTAAATATCATTTCCTTATGTGTCAGAGGTACAGAGGGTGTGTGTAAACGTTTGAAACTTTAAGACATACTCCCTCTGTCCCTTTATAATTGTCTAAATTCCATATTTCACAATTTTTAAGGCAACAATTTTTATTATATTTTATTAGATTGAAAAAAGATGCATTTCCAAATTTGCCCTTCCCTAAAAAATTGTTTTTTCATTTATCGCCATTCCAAAAGTTTAGCGCCAATCTGAAACAAAAAGCAGTATACTCTGTGTTTAAAAATTTCAAGAGTTCTTCTTACCTAAACAAACTCCAACTCAAAAACAAACTCTGTCCTCTTTACCAATATAGTTAGTTCTGTCATTTACCCAAATCTACACAGAACTTGTGTTATTACATCAGGTGAGTTCATCTCCTTCTTTAACTATTTATCTTTCTCATTCTTATCTTTATAAAATTGAGTTCATATCCTTCTTTTACTTTTTATCTTTTTCATTCTTTATCTTTATAAAATTTTCTGTCTTTTACGGAGTAACACTTATGTTTTCTTTTTTTCTTTAACTTTATTTGTTCTTAGGTTTCCATTTAAAATGGATACTCAAACAGAGAACAACTCTGTTCGGCCAAAATTAAAAAAGGAACTAACGAAGCAAGAACGTCAAGCAATTGCTGAAATTCTATTGATGCAAAGTGAAAATGAAAAATTGAAAAGGCATACCATACCTGCCACAGCCAAAATGTTTTCTGTTTGTGCCAGAACTATTAGTCGAATTTGGCAGCGGCTTGTGGAAAATCTTTCAAATGGGTCAGCAATTGATGTTTCCAGCAAAAAGCGGAACAGAGTTGGTTGCAAACGGGCGCAAGTCGATCTTAATAAGGTATAAAAAATTCCTCTCCGACAACGTACAAACATTCAATCTTTATCATTTGCTATGCAAGTTGCTAAATCTATATTACATAGAAGAATTAAAGAAGGCTTAATTAGACCACATTCAAATGCCTTGAAGCCATCTTTAACTGAAGAGAACAAAAAAGCAAGGTTGTTGTTTTGTTTGTCAATGCTTGAGCAGTGTAGTCTTCATGACAAGCCAACTTTCAACAATATGCTTAATTATGTTCAGATTGATGAAAAATGGTTTTATATGTCTAAAGAGCCGAGAAATATTATCTCCTTCCTGAAGAAAATGAATCCGTACGTACCTGCAAAAGTAAAAGGTTCATTACAAAGGTTATGTTTCTTGCCGCAGTTGCTAGGCCACGATATGATACTTCTGGCCATGAAGTTTTCTCTAGAAAGATTGGAATTTTTCCATTTATCTGCAAAGTTCCTGCTAAACGAAGTAGCAAAAATCGCATGGTTGGTACATTAGAGACAAAACCGATGTCGTCGATAGCTAAAGATATAATTCGATCATATTTAATTGAGAAAGTTCTACCAGCGATTCGAGCTAAATGGCCTTATGGGGGTATGATGGAAACCATTTATATTCAACAAGATAATGCAAAACCACACATTGATCCATTGGATGCAGAATTCCTAGAAGCTGCGACTAAAGATGGGTTTGATATTCGGTTAACTTTCCAACCTCCTAATAGTCCAGATTTGAATGTTCTTGATCTTGGATACTTTAGAGCAATCTAATTGCTTCAATACCAACAAGCTCCCACTACTGTTGATGAGTTGGTGGATGCAGTGGAAAAATCTTTCAATGAATTATCGACAGAAACTCTTGATAATGTTTTTTTAACATTGCAGGGCTGCATGATTGAAACAATGAAGGTGTATGGGGCAAACAACTACAAATTGCCACATATGAAAAAAAATCAATTGAGGAATCATGGTAATCTTCCTTCTCAGGTTTACTGTGAACGTGATGTGGTTGAAAATGCTCTAAGTCACCTAAGAAATTGATCATTCTTTTGTGACAGCAATGTGAGGTTTTTTTTTTTTTTTTTTTTTTTTTTTTACAGGTTTTTGTGGTGTAATAAATGAAGATGGGTGCCCTATTTTTCTTTTTAAGAAGAAGAGACTTTGGTTTTAAATATGGGAGAATGTATTGTCCAACCTTGGGACTTTTGTAGACTTACTTTGGTTTTATACCTAGAAGGTTTGAAGAATGGTGTAAAAGAAGTATCTTATTCCACGTACAAATATTTTGTAAGCCATGGTTTGCTCTCTTACCTTTTCATGAAGGGGTTATATAAAGGAGTTTTTGTGTAAAAAGTTTGGGTATGTACATAAAAAAGAAAAAAATTGTAAAGAGATTCCTTACCATGGATTTGCTTTGCCTGTCAAAATGGTTGGAAAAGTGGCTATTAGGTTCAGTGATTGAAGCTTCATGTGGGATCACCTGTGCTAAGGGCAGTTCAATTACTATGAAAGAGTCAACCATGAATTTTATTCTGAGCCTTCTATCCCCCTGTTCTGAATTTCTTTCTAAAAAAGCTTTTTACTTTATTTATGCTGAAAATTGATTGCGCGTTTCTCTTCTTACCATAAGAAAATAAAAGAAACAAAACTTAATGTGATTAAAGGAAGTATACTAGGGCTAATAATATTCCTAAATGTTTGTTCCATTTGGTTGAAAACACTCTTATTTAGCTAACAATAATTAAAAACACTTTTCTTTATCTAACAATAATTCTCATTTTTGTAAGCCATATGAGTGTTTTTTTTTTTTTTTTTTTTTTTTTTTTTTTTTTTTTGTACTAGTTTTTGTGGGGATAAAAAATGGATTTTTGCGGGGATCTCTTTTTTTAAGCGGAAAAAGGTTATGTTGTGCATTGTTGGAACTTTTGTAGGAGTATGACATAACCTAGGTTCTTTTTACCTTGAATTGGATTCAGACTATGTTTAGTGCCCGCTATAGGGACTTTCTCTATTAGCAACTTCAGTTGGATCACTTTTTGGCCTTTTGGAGATAGGAGGTGCTGAGAAGGGAAGTTGGCTTTTTAATGGAAAAGTATAATGGAACTGTGTAATACTTATAAAAGAAGATTATGGTATATTTTTAATGGGGTCTACTGTTTTTTAAAAAATGGGTTTAAAAATTAAGTATGAAAAAGTTATTTTTAATGGGGTTTATTTATTTTGAAATTTTAATTAATTTAATCTTTTAAGGATAAATTGAGAATGTAATAAAAAGTAGTATATTAGTTTTTGAAATGTGATAATTAAAATAGGATAACAAAAAGAAAAAAAAATGAACTATTAATAAGACGCAGAGTAGCGTTGACTGAAGTTAATGGGTGTGAGTGCAGTTTACCTTATAAAAAAATAAAAAAAATTGAGACTGGAAGGGCGTTAAGTCACCAAGGGTGGAGCCGGCCCTCAGAACCCCCTCCTGTGAGCTTGTCTTCCCCCGTCCTTTTGAAGTTGGTTCAACTCCCAGAGGGCCTAATTATTGTGCCGTAATACACGTGTGATAATATCCATGATCTGTATATGCATTCCTCAATTATTGCGCCGTTGCAATCTCTCTCGTCTCTCTTCCTTGTTTTGATATCACAGAGAGCTGCAATCTCTCTCTCCGCTTCTTTGAGATCACAAGACACAGTTCTCACCTCTCTCTCTCTCTCTCTCTCTTCATTTCTTTGAGATCAGTGACAGTTCTCTTTCTCTTGCTTTGAGATTAGAGACAGAGTTCTCACCTCTCTCCTCTGGTCGATCTCAACCTCCCCTTTTCTCTCTCTAAAATGTAATCCCGTTCTCACAGCCCGCCTTGAGTTCATTCTAGGCTGGCTTTTGATCCCAATTGCCACTCTCTCTCTCTCTCTCTCTATATATATCCACACATAGTCACATACACACACTGTGAACATGATTTCTACAACTCAAAAGAAAGCACTCCACTCAATTCTTGCAAGCAAGCTCAACAAGCTCACAATCCCACCCTCCTCCGACGAAGAATTCCACTTCTCCGATTTATTCGGCCCTCCAACATCTTCATCACCTTCATCTTCATCTTCGCCGTTCCTTGGCGATCCCCCAATCATCCACAACCGTTCTCACTCCTTCGTTGGCCCTTCGCCCCGATTCGCCGTCTCCAATTCCCTCCCCGAAATCGACTCCGAAAGTTCCGACGAATATGGGGATGACGAAGATAGTGGAATTGACGCCGTTAGGGTTGTGGAGAAGGGGGAGGATGGGGTGGAAGTGTGCAGAATTGGGCCTGGGGATTTTGAGATTTTGAGGGTTGTTGGAAAAGGCGCTTTTGGGAAGGTGTTTCAGGTGAGGAAGAAGGATAGGGATGGAATTAGTGGTATTGGTGGGGACAGTGGTGATGGGATTTTTGCAATGAAAGTGATGAGGAAAGATACTATTATAAAGAACAATCATGTTGATTACATGAGGGCTGAGAGGGATATTCTCATCAAACTTGTGCATCCCTTTATTGTTCAGCTTCAATATTCTTTTCAGGTATTTGTAATTTGTGATCAAGGTTTTTTTTTTTTTTTTTAGTACTACTGTGGGCGTTTGCTTTATTTTCAGTGAATCTGTTGTTTCATTCAAATTATGAATATTATTTAGAATAAAAGATCAATTTATATGTGTTGTGTATTTATAGCTGAAACATGAATTTAGAAACCAAATTCAAATTGAACAGATGAAAAAATTATTTTTCTTGGAGGAATTATGCTTTGATGGTATGGATTTATCGGTAATAGTTGTTGATGTAGAGATACGGGGTTTTTCATTTTATTTGGAAAATGCATGTCCACCTCAACTTTAATACCCATTCCATTTCCGTTCAGCTGGATCTGCTGTATTATGCAATCTTGTGTATTAGAATAGGTTTAAATAGCAAACAGTCTAGTACCAAAAACCAAGGGAGGGGAAAAATGAATACAATTACAGATTTATCTCATATTGGGTACTAACTGTGTTATTGGCTATACGTGTTTGTATCATAATTTCTGAATTACGTTTGTTAGTCATGAACTTTTTCTATGTGCCAATGATGAAAATGATATTTATGCAACTCTACTTAACCAACTTAAGACCTCTTCTACCATACAGGTCTATTAGACTTTTATTCATTCTGTTTCGCCAGTCAGTAACCCTGCCAGGTTGTCATTCTTCTGTGTTGTTCAACAATAAACCTTATTTACATTTCAAGTATCATTTCAGCTTTAGTGCGATCTCTAATTTCTCACAAATGCTTTACTTATTACTTACATTCTTTATTACCTTGTCCATATCTTCATTCTTATTTTCAATATGTCCTTTCATTTACTAAGGAGCCATTTCTTGGTGCATTAGTAAATGTTGTGTTTTCAAGTGTGAGAATGTTGGTTTGAATCCTGAGAGTAATCACTTCATTCAAAAAGTGCCAAATGGTAGGCCTTAAGTTTTAAAGGGGCTCTTCTTTGTTGTGTCTGTTAGCTTATATCACGTGCTTGCTTGGTTGTACCAATTTTCAAATACTCATTCTGATGCTATGTTATATGGATTCTTCAAAAGTAGTGAAGTACCTGTGTTGGACACATATTGCTCGGATATGGGTATGGGATATGTATCCGACACTTTTGATTGGACATGTACTTAAAAAGCATATCCAATCATTCAATTTTATTATATTATTACTTTAAAATAAGTTAAATGCCTATATTATAAAATAAAATAAAATAATTTATAAAATGAATATTTAGCCGTATCCGTGTGTCATTCTATTTGAAGATTTGACACGTCCAACACATGGATACATACCCGTGTGTCGGACGCGTACCCGAGTTCACGTAACATAGTTCTAATGGAGTTACATGCATGAAATGTACTAGAATCGAATCTAAGGATCTGAAACAAAATTGCACAAGGTCCACTGAATTAAACCTAGATGGGTGGGGGTGGGTAGGGATGGAGCCAGGAATTCATATTAGGGGGACACCGTATTTTATTTTATTAGAGATCGCATTCTGTAGTGATTTGTTTCAGCTGCTAGTCATTCAGTTGAGAATCTGGTGTGATTGCTCTGTGTATGTGCTGAGTCTTCAGTAGCTCAGCAGCGGATGTATCAAGACAAGTGCTCATCAACTCACCAAAACTAATGTTATTGATGATTGTTGTAAATAAAAATATTGTTTTTTTCCGCAAGAGAACTCTCAAAAGTATATGAATTATATGAAAATTATGGATATTTAATCTTGTGTATAAAAAGAAAAAAAGAGTTTATGCTTTTCAAAAGGCATGAAAAATTGTTGGAAAAGCTCTCTAGGGTTTCGAGAGATGATTTGTACTTATAATCATACCAGAGGTGTAATATAATCAGGTCAAAACTCAGTGTTTCAATCCTACCTAGATTCTGCAGTTTTGGACCCTTTGGTCAATCAACGTTCTGCTTCAATCAATTGAAGCAACTCAAGTAGGTTTTGATCAATAGCTCGATCAATCGGACCTTTGCAATACCTAATACTTAGAAAAATTTGCAGAAAAATATTTTAGCTTTTGAAACCATGTAATTAATTAACATATTTAGGAATCAAAATAAGTTTAGGAAACCTTGAAATTAAAACATGCATTAATCAAAATATGTTTAGAAAACTTTGTTGAACCTTTATAGTAGCCTGTTCTTCATTTTGGAGATAATTTTCATTTGACTCACAATCTGTACATATCTATCTAACTAAAATTAAAACAAAATTACAATTTCATGTTTTGTTCTATGGAATTTGCCAACTTAGTCCTATCCTGTGATGAAGTTCGGAATTTGTTTCAGGGGCGAAATTGAACATGGTAAAATAAATTTTTTTTCCAACTAACAGTTTAGTAAGAACAAGCTAATCAAAATTCGTATAGTATGTAATAGATAAATAAAAAAATTACTATAAAAATAATTCAGAATTTTTTTTTTTGGATAAGTAATAATAAAAGAAGCCTTCCAAAGGGGAACACATCCCTCACAAGAGAAAGGCCAAATAGGGCCTCTAAACTCTCAGAGTCCAAAAAATACATTCGAAGTTCTTGGTCCTTGGTCATGTTAACACATTTGAAGTTCATTTTTATTTAATAAGATGTTGGAGTCAATTTAAGCCTATTTCATTACATTAAAAAGTGAATAAAAAAAAAAATTCTGAATTATATCCTCTAAAGTTTAAAAAATGCTGAATTTCCAAGTTGAATGCCATCTTTCTTAGGCCTCAGATAACCACTCCATAATTTTAAGACGTAAGGATCAGGCATGAGTGTGCATTATTCATAAACTCGACTGTGTTCTCATTGTTTCTTTTCCAACAACTTTACAGACCAAGTCAAAGCTGTATTTGATTCTGGATTTCATTAATGGAGGACATCTCTTCTTTCATCTATACCGACAGGGGATCTTCAGGTATTTTCCGTCTAAATTTTCAACAGTTAATCATGATCTAACTTATCAAGAAAAAAAAAACAGTTAATCATGATCTAATTTCATCAATTTTGATTCGGGCTCTCGCGTATGTCTTGGGTAGTGAGGATCAAGCAAGAATTTATACTGCCGAGATAGTATCTGCTGTTTCACATCTTCACAAGAACGGGATTGTGCATCGGGATCTTAAACCTGAAAACATTCTCATGGATGCCGATGGGCATGTAATGGCGATGCTCATACACTTAATACTGTCTCAGGAACCTGCATAAAAATCATGAAATATCCTTTTAGTACTTATTTATATATTTTTTTTCAATCAGTTTTCGTTATTCCTAAATTTAGTATTTGTCATCCAGGTTTTGCTAACTGATTTTGGCCTCGCAAAGGAAATTGATGAATCGAACAGATCAAATTCTATGTGTGGGACCGCAGAGTACATGGCTCCAGAAATCTTACTTTCTAAAGGCCACAATAAAGATGCAGATTGGTGGAGTGTTGGTATTCTCTTGTATGAAATGCTATCTGGACAGGTAATGCTATCTTTGAAGTTCGAACCACTAGAGACATCAAAATTGTCAAATGTAGCTCATAGAAAGATGTCAAACTATAAGTTGTAACTTTTTATGGTTGTTAAGAGGTCATGGTCTTGAATATGAACATCAGGAAAACTTGCTTGAAGTAGTAATTAAAAGTCGAAAAATTTATATTAAGGCGTTTTAATTGGAGATTTCATGTCATGAATATTCTTGGCTAATTTAGACTGATCCAGTCTAATGTATCGCGACCTGATAAACAAGGAACTTTTGACCTGGCTGTCACTCAGTTGTCCACAAAAATAATCATAACTGGTAAATTGAATTCATATTTAAACATTAGGTCAAAAAGGAACTGCAATGTCTTCCAACAGGAAGAGGGAAAAGGAAGAAGGTTTTTTTTTTTTTTTTTTTTTTTTTTTTTTTTTTTTTTTTTAAACGGAAGGCAAAAAGAGGTTCAAGCAATTCTCAATATTACCTCCGTTTTCCCATCCCTTCAAATAGATTCAATGTTATTATGCTCAATTTTTTTCCGCGGTGTCTTCAAGTTTGTCATTCATTTCTCAGTATATGCAATCTACTTATGAATGTACTCATGTTATTCTGCTCCTTTTCATTTTCCTTTTTCCTTGTTTTTGTTTTGGGTTATACTCATTGTGTCGTAAAAGAATATATATATATATATATATATATATATATATTATTTTATTTTTTTTATATCACTATTAAGAGGATTGCTGTTTGTAAATATAGTTCAGAAACTTCTTTACCTTCTGAAAATATATATATATATATATATATATATTTAGTTCAGAAACAATTGTTCTATTATAGTAGTTATGCTTCCTTGTTTTGCCTCACAATAGTTATCCTCGTTGTGTGAATCTTTTTCATTTTTTGAGTTAAATTAGTCCCGTCCTAAAAGAAATAATATATGTAATACTTATATTGTTATTACGATGTCATCAAGTCAACTATTCCAGACTGCCAGTTGCTCAAATTGGGTGAAATGCAGTGCCTTATGGCTCAACGCCTGTACTAAATCTTTGAAAAAAAAGAAGGGTCAGGAAATCCTAGCCTAGTGCACTCTTGCGGTGTTGAGGGAAAAAATTATGTAAGATCAATTAAATGCCAGTGTATACAATGGCCTTTGAGTTTTGTTCTAGAAATCTAGTGTTGTGGCACCAATAGGATTTTCTTAAGGACCAAAAGAGCCCTACACTAAATTGCCAATTGCCTACTCTGGTTTTTCTTTTGCACTGAAATTGACTACATTTCCTTCAGCCGCCATTCACACATGCAAATAGAAAGAAGCTTCAGGAGAAAATAATCAATGAGAAGGTGAAGCTTCCGCCACGCCTAACGAGCGAAGCTCACTCCTTGCTCAAAGGAGTAAGTATATGCTGTGTGTTTCTCTGTTAACATGTTTCTATTCTATTTTTGCTGAAATTAATGAATGCAATAATTGCAAATTTACCTTCATTTCTAGCAGTTGTTGCAAAAGGAACCATCAAAAAGGTTAGGCAGCGGGTCTAGAGGAGGAGATGAGATCAAAAGTCATAAATGGTTTCGGCCAATCAACTGGAAGAAATTGGAGTCAAGAGAAATGCAACCGAAGTTCAAGCCAGACGTGACTGGGAAAAATTGCACGGCCAATTTTGACAAGTGTTGGACAGCAATGCCTCTAGATGACTCACCGGCTCCCACACCAACGGCAGGTGAGCATTTCGAGGGCTATACTTATGTGGCACCTAACCCTTGGCTTTCTAAATGAAGTGATGCTAGTGAGCTACCCAATTAGGGGTCTTAGTCCTTGTAAGTTCATTTTCTCCAATAAATTATAGATAGATATGACACATCCACTATCATGTATAATATATTTATTCTTCCAATATTTGTGCATTTGTGACTCCCTTTTATTTTAATTGTTTATCTGTTTTTACTTTTTTGTGGCTTCCCTTTCATTCTACTTGCTCACAATATTGTTGTAGATTTCCATGAAATTTTACTTTTTGAATGTTTATGGAAATATGTCTTTAGGCACATTAAACCGGCTCCTGTTCTCACAAACCCGTTCAATGAAAAATTTGTCTTTGTTAGATGGAAAATTCACATAATATATTCTGCCCATTATACATGAGAGAACCTGACAAAAAATGTGAGGAACCTAACCTAAACCGAATCTGCAACATGAAACCCGTCCTTTGGTTTGATTGTCAAATTAAGGTAGATGGCAGCGTAGTGCATTTTCTCTTCTCCCGTTCAGAGATCTGAATAGCAGGGGCACTGTGCCCTGATTTAATTTACGGGTGATGTCTCCAGACATTGACAACAGTTTGTATATTCTAATGCTCTATCAAATAGTAATTTGTTGCTTTAAATATTTATAGGAAAATACCCCTTTATTTTGATTGCACAAGATATTTTATCGGCGTACTTTTAAATAGTAACTGGTCTTATCCTGTACCCATTGGTTTTCGATTGTTTATGGCCATGCTGACAGTTTTGTCTTCACCTAGACCTTCTCTTGGGTTAATCATGCGTCCCACATATATTGTAAACCTAGAATGTAGGACATCTGCATGTTCACAAAAGGAACAAAACCGAAATGCAGAAGTTGATACAAGTATGTGGTAAGATAAGAAATTATAAAATTAAAAAAATCAGTTTCTTGGACGGTGGTTGAAAGAGAAAATCGATTAAGATGGTTTGACTATGTCCATTGAAGATCAATGAGTGCATCAGTGAGGAAGATTGACATCCACATTGAGGGTAATGGCAGGAAAAGGTGGATGCCAAATTAAGAAAAGTTGATCCATTAATAAAAAATGTGACATTGTATGGATTAATTAAAGTTATAGCCTTAGATTCATTAGAATGGGAAAATATGATTTTATCACCAGTAGGTCCAGTAGATCTCAGATAGTTGGGATAGGGCGTCTTCTTCTTCTTCTTGTTTTTATTTGTTTGTTTTGTTGTTGGTGGTGTTGTGGTTGGTGTTGTTTAATAAAACTCAAGAGAAGGACCTTGAATGTTGAAAGATTTCGGATAAATTAGAACTAATTAAGAATGTAAGAAAGGAGGGAATATAAATATTAAATTACCACAATCCAAGTATCTAACTACCTCATTAGTCACGTGTTTAGCTGTTTTACCACATAAAATCAAAGAAACACTAGTACAAAAAGAGAAGCAGTAAAGAATCTTGTTCCTACTCACTTTACTTTGGACCAGGTTATATATTGTGTACTTACAAACCACAATCTAAGTAATCTAACTACCTCGTTAATCACGTGTTTAGCTGCATTACCACATACAAATCAATGAAACCCTAATCCTTAAGCTGAATTTCCTATAGGATTACAACCATATCTGACATCTTTTATGTGGGATCCCACGCACGTCGTCTCTGGAGGGTGGCACCCTTTTGTGTGTGGTTGTGTATTTGGAAGAAGCGGAATAGAAGATCCTTTTGATTGGGGAGGAATCTTTGATTGGGGCTATTAAATTTCTTAAGATTGGGGCTATTAAATTTCTTATTATTAGTTTTCTTTCTAGTTGTGTTATGGGAAGAGATTGTAAATCTACAGAGGAGATAGTAAATTGTCTAGGTTCATTGGGTCCTTAGGGTGCCCCTTGGCTTTGGCCTTTGTGTAGCTCTGGTATGCATTCCCCTCTTGAACACTTTTAATTACATTTTTACTTATATATATATATGTGGTCTAGATTAATCGTATTAGAAATAGTGGGGTTGCCGGGCACCTGGGGAAAAACATGCAATAGAAAGGTGTTTGCTAATGGGGATCTTAGAAAGAAACGGAAAAAAGCTTGGGGACCCTTAAAAACAGCGACCTTGGTGTTCTTCATTGTGTGAACATGTCAAGCATAGAATCTATCCTCCCTTAGGTAACATGCAGGCCTTTAGGAAAAGGAGTAGAAACCTCATTCATGAAATGAGGAAGTTACTGTTGTTCATTGTGTGAACATGTCGAGCATAGAACCTATCCTCCCTTAGTAGCATGTAAGGACTTTCGGAAAAAGAGTCGAAACCTCATTCATGAAATGAGGAAGGGTTCCACACACCAAATAAAGTTGGTTTTCTTTGGCTGTCATAAAGACTGTTCCACTAACCCAGAACCACAAATGAGAATTTAGCTCATCTTTCCTCCACCCCAACCCCACCCTCATTGCTTCAAATGCAAGTATCATAACATAATATATATATATATATATATATATATATATATATATATATATATACCCACTTTGTTTCTATATCTGCAGTCATCTCATTTGTTCTAAGGAGTAGTTGCAGTTAGTTAGAACCCAGTTTTGAGTAGAGCCATGAACAAGGGCAGAAGGAACCAGTCCCTCTGTGAGAATTCAATGAAGATGGTGGTGAACATCGTCAAACTGTCATCCTTTTCTATTGCCAAGATGAGTCTTGGAACAACTGCTCCATCTCCGGCTACTGTAAATCTTGCATCCTCGACAGGTTCTGTCAAAGTTGTCAATGATGCACCAATGCCTCGGTTTCCTGGGAATCGGAGGTCTCAAGAGCTGCATAGCGGCTCAAAACCTGTCTCGTACCTGGTTGAGCTAGTGGAAGGAAATGGATCTCCGGATGTGATTGGTGAGGAGAATAGCATTGACCAGAAGGCTTCGGATTTTATTAAAAAGGTGCATCAGAATAACCAATATGGTTCGACTGAGGCATCGACCCTTTCTCTCTACATATTGCCTCCCCCACCCCGTGGACTGATGTAGCCAATATCCTTCCGTATGTGCCTTTTTTTTTTTTTTTTTAACTTCGTACCTGTTTTTTTCGAAAATTAACTTCGTACCTGTTACTACTGCTTTGGTTTACAATAAGCCAGTCGATGGAAGAATACATTTTACTTGCTTGAACAAGTAGATTACGCTTAGTGTTAACGAAAGGAGATTTTTTTTTTTTTTTTTTTTAATTTTTTATTATTATTTTTTTGGAAGGTAGAGGGAGATTTCTTTTCTTGTAGGGACAAACAAACACAAGCATGCACAAGAAACACATGAACTATTTTCATTTTGATAGGAAAGATGCACCCGCACACCCAATTTGTCCACCTGGGGCTTGAACCTGTTTAATGGTTAGCCAAAAATTATTGAAACATTATGACTTAATATTGAAGATGTGTAAATATAATATAATCAATGTATGCAATAAATTTGAAAAAAATACATAAAATAGAATTTTTTTTTTATTAATTTTTTTTTTATATAGAAAATGAATTATTAATTAATAGTAGAATTATTAATTAATAGTAACAATTTCAGTAGTACCGGACTCCAGCAAGTAATATATGGTGCTTCCAAATAATATAAAACAGTTTTGTTTAACATATTTTTGGAAATTAAGTAAAAAGAAAAAAAAAACAAAAAAAAAATGATTCTATTCCCTCGTTATATATGAGTAAGCCAAACAACGAAATGTTTACAAGATATCATTTATAAGGACATATTTCTGAACATGTCCAAGACTTGGAACTGGAATATTTGATTCTTCAGTATCTATATCCAAGTATGAAATTTCTATAAATTGGATCCTCATTCTTGACGGCCAAACATAATTTTATGAGTGATTTTAACTTATGATAGAATATTGTTTGGAGTGATTTATGCTATTGATTTTTTGGAATCCTTTATCAACGTATTTTTCTTATTTATCACTTGTATTTCTTCACCTGTAAATAGAGATGCTGATTGTAAACAATATTAAGAGAAAAAATAACAAGGCTTTGTGTGTTTGTGTTCTTCATGTTTAATTTTATGTTCAACTTTTATATCTTTTAATAATTACAAATTTCGAAGTCTCAAAAGAAGATTCCTCTCATCATAAGATCTTTTATTCTGCGCCTTTCAAATGCACCACCAAGACAAAATAAAACCTCCCACTAAAATTAAAATTCACGAGCACGGACACCCACAAAACAGCCTCCAAGCGACAATGAATCCCGACTCAATACTTAGAAAGGTTTTGTATACAAAGTGATTTGGAACCGACATTCCTTCTTTCGTGTGAACAAGATCATTCGAGTAAAAAGTAGTCTTTTTTAGGCAAAAGAGGGAGATAGAGAGTCTTCCAGTCTGTTTTTAGGCAAAAGCAGGGAGGGAGAGTCTTCCAGTCCATGCCTTTGTTGTTAAGGCATGTGGGCCTCCAGGCAAGTAGTCAAAATTTACTGCATGCAATAATAATGATAAAATATGATCCGTCAGATAGTTGGGGTAGGGTAATTTATTTTTTGGGGGATAAGTTAGTACTAATTAAGAATGTAAGAGTGAAACTTTCAAGATAAAAAAAAATAATGAAAAGACTAAAATACCCCAGTAGGGTAAACTGATTACATGTGTGTCCCAATAAGATTATTCTAACATTCCTCCTCAAACTTGCAGAATACATATCATACACTCTCAACTTGAAACAAATAGCATTCAAACGATTACGACCCAAGCCCTTAATGAACTTAGTCAATTGATCTTTAAATTTTACGCATAAAGTAAAGATGTTTCAACTTAATATTTTGTCTCAAATAAAGTGACCGTCAACTTCAATATGCTTAGTCTTCTTGTGGAACACTGGATTAGAGGTGATATATATAGTTGCTTGATTATCACATTAATGCAATGACATTATTTTGGTGCCCACAATGACTCATTGATTGGGTGTATTCATTTATTTCCTCTCCCTCGTACACAATCTCCATCAATGGACAGTTTCATGTTCACTTCAGAGGCATCAAAGGGTTGCGACAAGGAGATCCCTTCACCCCCTTCCTGTTTGTTATTGCTATGGAAGTCCTAACAGGCATCATCTCAAAGTTCATCTCACGGGCACCAGCATTTAAATTCCATTGGAGGTGTAAGGAAGCAATGATTACCCACTTATCCTTTACAGATGACCTGATTTT